TCTCTCTCTCTCTCTCTCTTATTTTCTTCTCTCTCTCTCTCTGTGTGTGTGTGTGTGTGTGTGTGTGTACTTTGTATGTGTGTGTTCGTTTGTTTATTTGAACCAGAAGAAAAGGTTTCTATGTGTGTATAGAAATATTGTTGTTTGTGAGATGAGAAGTTATATATATATTTCCCTTATAACTATGCAAACTGCTTGTCTGCGTTCGTCAGTGAATGCATTTTTAAACCATAATCCTCGTTCAAATGGGAGGCCTGTAATTATCTTCGGGCTCGCACCGGCGAGGACTCTTTTCACTGCCAAACACGTGAACATTACGTTATCTTCCGCGTTAAAGGGGGAAAAAAGAGACTTAGAAGAAGGAGAAGAATCGACGGTTTCGACTGTTGAACTGCTGTAGGATTATTTGTCTCGACCATTTAGAAAGTCCTGCTGAGACTTTGATTCTTTGCCTCGTTCGTATTTAAAGAGGGCAATGTATTTTCCATCGCCCCGTACTTTCATGTGTCATTACCGTGTTCCGCTGGGTACATCACGCTGACTCCGCTCCAACAATCGGGTCCACTGTGGTCTCTGGCCTGTATTAGTATTGGTAGCCCCGGTTGTCGTTTTTCTTCACCCTTCGGTAAATTCCCTGTCTTCGTGCTTCTCTTGCCTGTAGTTATATATTAACATGCTCATTGATACCGGGTTTGCATAGTCCTGGTCTTGTTTTGTAAGCCTGCTAAAATTGAGAATAGCGAAGCGTGGGGACGTGGGGTCAATGGCTTGCTCAGTAATAAATAATACAAGATGCCTTTAATAGTTGTATGTAGATCTATGTATTTTTCGTGTGGTCTTTTTTTTTACATCATAGTGAAAACAGTACAGTGTACTTTGATTTCTGACGAGTCAAAACGTTAAATTGCTGTCAATATCGATTTAAAAGTCAACAACCCCTGCCCCGTCAAAAAGTCAGGACCGCATTTACATTTTAGAATCTAATTGTCGGCGTCCACGTCGATGTCTGCGGTGACGATGAAAACATTTTGAAGCAGATTGTTATGTTTCTGGACTGATGGCCTTAAGTGTAGCACTAGACAGCCGAGGTGGCCTTAGGAACTGAAATAAATGTTGTTTTATGTGCTCCTATGGGCCTCTGTGTGTAATGACGATATGGACCCTACAAACAATCATGACGAACAATTAAGAGCGTAATTTCTCTGACGACTCGAGCTGATTAATTTCGCATGACATGATGTAAACCCATAATGGTGTACCAGCTGTAGGAAATATGATATTGTGCGTAATTTGAAACCGCTCTCTTGGTGTTTGTTTGATGCAGCTATTTATGGTCATTTTGAGTTTGGGGTCATGGACTGACAGATTGGAAGGCTCATCATCGTCGTGGACCTCTCTGGTGCAGAAAGACGAAACAGACAGATATAGGCAGACAGACAGAGGGATGCTAGACTCTTTTGAATAGAACTTTTGATACCGGCGTTCTGTTGTTATCAAGTGCTTTCTGTTCAATATATTGAATGCTGAGCGTAGCAACTTAGGTAATGCACCTTTTCTTGTGTGTATGTGTGAGTGTGTGTGCGTGCGTGCGTGCGTGTGTGTGTGCGTGTTTGTGTGTGTATGTGCGTGTGCGCTTGTGTGTATGTTGCGTTTCCTTCCTAAGGACACACCTCCATGTCCTATCTGGGCTTCGAACCAGCGACCTTGATGGTACGAGTCTAGTGGACTGTCTTGTCTGCCAGCGCTGTTGGGCGCAGTTTTTCCCTCAGTGATATGGTAGAAGTGAGACTTCTCGTCAACCGGATTTTGAAATGTTTGATTCAGCGTTTTCACGCATTGACACAGCCCCAGCTCACACTAAAAACATTTTCACTTGTCGCACAGCTGTGAGTATGCAAAGGAGACAATTTTCAACATTTCCTCACTCCTCACCTCCTGGTGACATCATACTCCGCAGCCATGCTACGGGTGGAAATGCTCCTTGTGTGTACGGGCCTCTAAGTCAACTGAAATTGCAAAGCAGGATACACAAGCAGCACTCTCAAAATATATGTATAATGAACATAGTTATCAAGGATCTTTAGTTTCTTAGAAAAAAAGCCTTCTGAAACGAAAGCACTGAAGAACCTGGTGGTTTTTACACACACACACACACACACACACACACACACACACACACACACACACACACACACACACACACACACACACACACACCCTTAGCAATAATTCCTCCGTTAGTATCGGACCGTCGACTTCAAGAGTCATAAAGTCATGATGATGCAACACATTTTATGGCTGAGTCTGCCAGAATCAGGGAACATCACCATCATCATCATTGCCTTTCTCACCCTGCATCAGGGTATAGGCCACGGACAAACACCCTCCACTTGTCTCTATTCTGGGCT